TAAATTAATAGATAATTAATCTTTATAAGAAAGTTGCTCAAATTCAATGAAAAATTTAGTCTCCGAGATTTTCAATTAAATTTTTTATAGACTAATTTATATATACATACATGTACATATTTGTATATATCTGTGATGTATATATTTGTAATAGATATAGAGAAACAACAGTTTTAAATTGTCGAATTTTAATTAATTTTTATTATAAATCTTTATATTTTTATTAACTATACATACTGATCTAACTGAAACGTAGTAATATAGTAAAATGAAAAGGTTGCAATTAGAAAGAGACCAAAGAAGATCTATTTCATTCACCTCATTTGTCTTTGTAAATACAAAAAGAAAACCTTTTAATAATATAAATCGTTAGCATGTTTAACTATCTCCTGCTATACAATGTCTTATCGTATCTCATGTTTCATATCATTTTCATTTACACGATACTTTTATCAGCTAATAATACCAGAACACGTACACTTATGTTAATCATCTTTTACTTATCATTTCTGATGTATCGACAGATATTAATAAGATAAAGCAATTAAAAAAAATCAATGTAAAGAGAACGCTATATATATTAGTATATATTCTACACTCTCTATACTACATTTTTTTTTTCTTGTTTGATTGCTTTGTTCGTGAATACATACAGTTGCCAGATGCTCGCTCTTCTACAGTCCTTCCAAGCTTACTTCAAATTAGTGGGATACAGTAGTGAAATACACTACACAACTAAGCTTTCCATTATAAAAATAATAAAGAAGAAAGAAACGATATTATTCCTTGTATTGAATATAGTTATGAGCATGACTTTCAATAAATTTATTGAATATTCTTTTGAAAATGGCTTTTAAACGAAAGATATGATATTATGTAATACGATGTGAAACTTTATCCCTATATAAAACCTAATTTATATCTAGAAAAAGATAAATTCTCGATGCTTTAAAAAAAATACAAATCTAGTTTGTAAGTGCAATTAAGATCTAATATTGTTTACATCCTAATCTATAAATTAGATACAAAATTATTAATTTAATGAATATTTATTCACTCAGTAGAGATAGTGCGATGTTGAGATAATCACACTTCACAAAATGTAATTATTATTCCTCTGTGATTCGACAAACACGTCGAGTTGTAATTTATAGTTACGGAAGAGCAGCATGGATAGATTGTAGAATAGAGAGTAGAATTTATATATATATATATATATATATATATATATATATAAATTAATCGCATTTTATTTTACTAGGGGAAACCGTGACGAGCCAACTCAGTCCAACCAGTCCAAACGAGGACAGTTCAGGCGAATCCCGCCCAGACAAACCTCGATTACAACGCTCTATGGGTCAAAGCAAGAAGACTTTTCGATTGCGAAAGAGTCGAAGAAGTCACGTAGAAGTAATACTATATATACAGCTATAGAAATATTAAATTTTTCTTCCAGTGTCAGGCGATATTGCCCTTCATTTATTAATATAATTGAAACAGTTTAACTGATTAATTAATATAGTAATCAATCAATTGATATAGTAATATACTAATCAATTTATATAGTATGTATCATTTTTATGTATAGCTAATGATACAGCTGAGTTAATTTATTTTAGATACACGTATATCGCAATAAATTTAAACAATGACTTGAAATTTAATTTTCAGGCAGTGCAAGTGAAATCAGAACAAAGTAATAACGTAACACCAACGACCCAACCATCAATTTTAACACCACCAACCCCAGTGATGGAACCATCGAGTTTCAGCATCCCCTCCGATTCGTCATCGATTCGCTCGAGAAGAAGTTCATCTATCCGACAATCGGATTGCGAGAAGGGCAGTAATTTACTGAGCGATCAGCAGCAAATGCATGCTAGTCTTCACCACCATCACTACCATCACCATCATTATCATCATCATCTTCATCTTCAGACGTCAGACGCCTCATGGGACGAAGATACATCCAGTACGTCCGGTTATCGTGAGTCGTACAGTATGCAATTGGTGTCACTAGAAAGCAGCAACAATAACGCTCGTCCAATTCAAGCACCACCTTTAGCATCGCCAGACTTGAACGACATGCCCTCAACTAGTAGCACTACGACTCACGTTTTCGAGGGAAGCTCGCCGGATTGCTCTATCAACGGAAGCGGGGGGGAGAAAACTGCATTGTTGACAGCTAGTCAAAGAACAACCTCTCAACATTCCCTGCTGATGGTTTTCCCGAATCAAGATGAAGACACGTTGATATAGACAATTAACGGATATAGACAACGTATACCATGACGAGACTGATTAAAGCATTAATGACCTCTAATTGCTAACGAGAAGTCTCACAGTACATATCCATGTGTGCTAGTATTATTTGCCATTTCAATCATTTTCCTTGCATTAATTTACCATACGTTTCCTTTTCAGCATGTTTAGCTGTTATTAGGGAGAGAATACTATTTTCCTTATACGAATGAAACGTGAATAACACGCACCGTCAATTACGGTAAAAATTTACGTTAGCAGTTAAAGGTTCGGTCGAACACGACAATGTAGAAAAATTTTCGTAACGTAGAGCGACTGAGAATTTAAAGAAAAACGATCTAATACAGTGTTCAGAGTTTTCAATAATGTTCTCCGTTGACCGGAAAGACCAATTAAAGATACATATGTTCAGAGCCTAGCCTCGTGGTCACGGAATATGTACTTTGTAATACTTCGATGAGCGTAGCGAAATTACGACCACGTGGACGATTAGGCCTAAATATTTGTATGTCACGACTCTGTAAAAAAACCGAGTACATTTGAAGTAAAAACACTTTAAGAGAAACACGACGAATTTTCTCTCCGTTCTTACTACAATCCTGAATTTCCTTTCCTATGATTTTAATTTCCAGATTATAATCTACAATTTGCCGCTTCTTCGAGTCACTAATATTATTATTTAACAAATTACCGTATAATGGAAATCAGGATAAGGAGTTAATGATTTTGTAATTAACATATTTAAAATATTCCTTTCATGTTCTACATTTCCTAAGAATATATAAATAAGAATATATAAATCGAATATATAAATTCTTAAACATTAATATAGATAATTTTCAAGTGCTTTAGATTCTTGTAATTGTTATTGATATTAATAATACCGTCATTTATGATGTGGAAGATCGACGCTGAGTTCGGCAAGTACATAGGATAGTGCTGCAAATAGAGCTGTCCCCTTGTCGAGAGCTTGTGGATTTTCAACCAACATAGTATCTGCATTTGTATGATGGTAATTAAAGTATGTTTCATCTTGACTCCAAAAAGAACCTCCTGGTACACCTGCATTTACCCAAGAAGCGATATCAGGCCCACCGCTGGGACTGCGAATCGTCAAATTTCCCACAATTGAAAACAATCTAAAAATGAAAATTAATAGTAAAACAAACAATGAAATAAACTGAACGATTACGTGTTTATAGTGTCTTTTTTTTCTAGTTATATTTTACAAACTAACTTCATGATCCTTTCTAAAATGCATTTAACTTCTTCTGTCCCGGTAACTTGGAAACCTAATGGCATGAACGTGCCCGAATCCGATTCTAGCACAAACTGTAAATTCTTTTCTTCACTCTTGTGATTCTTGATATAATGATTAGCTCCTACAATTCCAACTTCTTCACCCGTCCACATGATCATTCTATAATTGTAATTAATTTTAAATCAAATTACCTGAATTTAAATGATATTTTTGCACTAGATATTTCTTAATTTTTTTTTTCTTTATTAATTAAT